GTACTAATTTCTCTGATGCGTGTTAACCCTAGCAATCAGCTCTACCTCTGCATAGAAATGTAGTGAAGGGCTTTAATACACATCCTTAACATTTGTGGCATTAATTGTGGAGCCGATTGGACTCAATGCTGCATGTTATGTTAAATAAAACCAGCACCAAGGTGGGTGATTTATTGGTCATAAAATAATGGCAAAATAGATTAAAAAGTACTTCACTTTGCATGCCCAAATAATTCCTCTAACTTTGATTATTTTGTATATAGCAGAGTTCCCTTTCAGCACCAAGCCCATGCAGGGATCCTACCTTTGTCAGTTGGGACTTCAGATCCGTTTCTCTGCTCTGACTTTCCTGATTCACGCTTTGGATCTCCTTCTTTGTCTGCTCCATAGAATTCTCCAGCTCTGTTGGAAAACAGCAGAACAACAGACAATCATCAATCAAGTCACAAAAAAGTTAATCACATGAGCAGCAGACATAGAGAAGAGGTATCTTTACCTTTCATGGTTTTTATCACGGTTCTGCTCTCCTCCTCAGCAACCTCCAGCTTTTGTCTCTGAAATGCAGAAGCATCAGCATGATTACATGCTAAACATTTACACAGCAGCATTCCTGTACCTTGAGCTAACTGGGGAATAATGACAGGCTCCAGAAAACATGCAAGATTGTGGATAAAATGCCTCTGTTAATGAGGCTACTTTCACAATGCCTGCAAGCAAAACAGCTTATAGTAATAAACGTGAGTCTGGGCAGAGATACAGATTTGGACCCAAGAATAAAAAGACATTTTAATAATAAAATAAAGAAAGTAGAGTCTTAAACTTGTGGATCAGGTTTTTACTTTAACCATATTTTTTGATATATTAACAAAAATGACCATAAATATATCTTGCTTTAATTTTTTTGGGATGATGAACGCCAGATCTCGTTGTTTCTGTGAAAACTCCAATTCCATCAAACTTACAAAAACTAGCAATGCAGCTGCTGTAGCCTCTGCAGAGGACTAGATCTCACTGAGACAAAGGAGGGGGACATATTTTATGAAGCATCAGGATCCTTTAGCCTGCAAAATGAAATGATGAGGCAATGCAAGGCCCGCAACAGCGGTTAGAGCACGCTGGTCAAATGCAGAGGACAAAATTCATTGTTCAGTTCAGTAGCTTTTATTTGTCCCAGTATGGGCAATTTTGTGCAGTGGTAGTACACCTTTCAGACACATGTTCACATTTCACAAATCACAGATAAAAAATAAAAGAAGCACGCATTGGAATGTACAAAGTCAGAAGATATTTGAAAGAACAGTCCCGCTTCGCCCCGCTGCGCTCCAGACCACCTGCACAAAGCAAAGCCTACAGCCTCCACTGTGGCTCCCGTACGCTCCGCTCTGAGTTCCTTGTAGATCGTAGAGGGCATGCACGAGATGATTAAATTCAAAGCAGCAAAACATGCGGAAATGATCCAGGGTTTCCGCGGATCATTACAAAAAATTACAATTCATTATTTTTGGGGGATTTTTTCATTAATTTCATTAATTATTATGGGATTTCGGGGTAACAATCAACAAATAATGATAAATCTAAATGAATTAGAGAAGAAAGTAGTTATAACTATCTAAAACTAAGCTAGAATGAAAAATCAAAAACTTTTATAACCTTGTAAAGAGAACTCAGGGAGTTCCTTGTAAATTCAAGGCCGCATTCATTCCTCTAGAAAATACATGTGATCTGTCTTTGTTTTGTTTCTGAGCAACAACTTTTAGCTTAACTTTGGGTCACAGGACTCATTCAGAGACAGATCTGACCCTCTCCTATAAATAGGTTTTTAAAAGTGCATTGATACGCAACAAGTGCTTTTAATTAACCTGATAAATGATTTAATAATATAACTCAGATCAAGCTGATGCTTGGAGCAAAAGTTTTGCAGTGTTGCTTGAATTTCTTTCCCTGTTCTTGTGGCAATTAATGATTTAGGTCCCTGATCACACGGTGGGGTTTAGTTTCCATGTTTGAACATCTAATGGGATTTATGAGTTTGGATGAGCTGCTCAAACATCCCATTGTCCTGAAATCTACATGGAGTATGACATGCTGCACAATGCTTAAGACTCCTATACATCTCTACATGCAGAACAAGATATCTGCATGTGCAAACAAGACCGGGGCGCTCTAAATTCAAATCATGGCAGAATTACCGCTGTGCATGGAAACATGGACGCCTGTGAGTTATCTTTGGGAGGGGCTGCAGTTTCCTTTGTTTTTTAACAATCGCTATTATCTACAGAGATTCTTCAATTCTTCTTACCAGACTGGAAAGCTGCTGCTCCAAAAAAGCTCTATCTTGATGAGCAGACTGAAGCTCTTTCTGTTTGCTTTCCAGGTCGACGCTCAGCTCGCTGATCTGTTGAGACAAACATCGTAAACATGTATTGGGCCATAATTCATGTTTTATCACAGTACCATTATGTATAGACACAGGAATTTTGTTTATTTACATTAAGGCCTGAAAACAGAGCAGTAAAGTATATGACAGACAACACCTCCAGGTTTATCCCTCCCAGATGCTGTGTTACAAAGCAACTATGTTATGTAAAAAGGTTTCAGCAAATTCTAAGGCCACAGACCTTTTTTTCCTGAGCTTGAACCTGGACCTTGAGGCCACTGATTTGCTGCTGCGACAGCGACACTGCGTCCTCCTTCTGCTGTGATGCCCGCAGCCGGAGCTGGAGGTCCGCCACCTCCCTCTCCAGCTCCATGATCCTGGAGCGCTCAGAAACTGTGGCCACCTGAGGCATACACAGGACAGAGGAGGCGTGAGGGCCCACAGGATGCCCCACAGAAGACATCTTATGCTGCAAAAACAAACATTCGCATGTTTAAATAAATAATTTGTCTAATAAATTAAAGCCTTTAAAATCTACAGCGCCTTGAAAGATATTAATACTGTATATATTGTTATCCTTCACTGCTATGGTACTGCCAACATCACCACATATTATTCTTATATTGTTCAGGGATCTTATGAGACAGATAAACACACATTATTGTAAAACACCAGCTATTCTGAGACGAGTAGAGAACAAATAGCATCGTGGAGACCAAGAGATACAGCAAGCGATTCAGGGAGGAAGCATTTGAGATGGTTGAACATCTTAAAGTTTGAAATATAGGCCGCCTCTTTGAAATTAACGATGTGGCAGAGAGAGACTGATCAGAGAAGCAGCTAAGATGGCCACTGTCACTCAGGGGGGAGCTGTTTAGATCCACAGCTCAGGTGGCAGAAATTTGCAACAGAACAACTTCCCTTTATGAATCTACAAAATAAAAACATGTTCTGATTTAAAACAGAACTGAACTTTTTGGCCAATCAGTACAAAATAAAGGTGGGAAAACGTCCCATCCTCCTGAATGCACCGTCTCCAGAGAGAAGCATGATGGGTGCATTCTTCTGTGAGGATCCTTCTTATTAGCAGTGACTGGGGAGCTGCTGAGAGTGGATGAGAAAATGAAAATAGGAATGTGGAAGGAAAACCTCTTAAAGGCTACAATAGTCTAGGGTGGTGGTCCAGCTTTAAGAGGGAAATAAACCTACCCATACGGCCAGGACCATAATAGCAACATCAGAGTCCAGGGCCGTTTCTCAATATATGTACCTGTGCGTTCTCGTGTGCTCGTGAAACGTCATCACCCTCAGTCCTAGTACTGTTCTAATTCACATGAACAGCAGATCGAGAACGGAGAAAGTCCCCGGATGTTGTTCTCGCCCCTCCCTCTTTACCCAGCATGCATTAGAGCAGACTTGTCCTTTCTTAGACTGACAGCTGTCCCAGCATGCACTGCGGCAGCAGCAGCTTCCAATGGAGCACTCACAGAGCTCAGAGTATTAAATTTAAAGTTCTCTTTTCTGTTGCCGTTGTTCTATAAATGTATGTTTTAAGATCATTTGAGGTGAGAATATTATACTTTAAAGCGTCACTATATGGTCAATTTACCGATTTAATGGATAATTAAAAAAAAACAAATGTCAAAATTTGAGAGGACTGCAGCAACCAGCCGACCTCCGAGGCTAACCGCAGCCAGGGCTAACGTTAGCCCGTCTGCAGCAGCCGTCTTTTGGCATAGCCGTGTGTGAAGGACACTGATGGCGATTTTTTTATTTTATTTTGCAAAATGTTAATTTGATTTGTGTTTATCTGACTGTGTTCATTATTATTACCCCAATAAATGAAAAGAGTCAGAATTTAGTATTATCTAGACTATTAATAACAGGAGGGGAAATGCAGCTCCAAGAGGAGCATGTGATGACGTCATCAGTACACTTCTGTTCCATTTGACCCATTCTGCGTCCTCCCGTTCTCCCCAAGTCCATATTTTATTGTGTTCTTCTCAAGAACATACTTGGCGAGGACATGAGTCCGTACTCTCATTCTTGTGAATTGAGAAACGGCCCAGGTTTTTCTCTGCCAGGTCGTTGGGCTGAATTTTGTCACTGCTACGCTGAAATTAGACCAACTGACTGCCATCTGGGCTGCTTTCTGTCCAGAGCATTTCAGTACAACCGCCCGCTAAACTGAAAGTTGTCAAAATTACACTGAAATCTCCGAACTTTAATTAGAGTAACGGCCATGGAAACTGGGATTTTAAACACAATTACCTCCAAATTTGACATGTATGCAGTGGTGGAAAGTATCAAAGTACATTTAGTTGGTGACTGTACTTAAATACCTTTTTCAGTATCTTCACTTGAGTAATTTTTTTCGGGGGTTACTTATAGTTTCACACCACTAGATTTTAAAGTCCAATATTATACTTTCTACTCTATCTCCATCTCTAGGAAGCTGCTAGTTACTTGTTCATTTTGATGCAGCCTAGCTTTTTTAATCCACTGTTTAGTTTTCCTTCTTGAAATGCAATATCAACATGTAAGCTAGCAGCCCTTAGGACTGAATTTGCACACCACTGTTTTAGAGATTTAAACAACATTCCACAGATATGAGAAACTCAGGGCAGATATTATTGGTAGATTATACGTTTTATTAATGCGTTAGTTGTTCACTAGGCTGACCTTAAAACTCTATTCCATAATGAAAGTTTAACAGAAATCAAGTAACCTTTTTGATTTGTATTTAAATAAGGAATAATAATCAAAATAGTTTTTATGCTGAAGTTCTTTATAGGTGGTTAGGAATTTGCAGCAGGTGGTTCTACGCATCAATACATCAGGTGGTTTCTGAAAGTTACAAGGTTTTTTTAAATTACTCTGAAAATTATACAGAAATGTAATTAGTATATTTTTTGAAATCTTAGATACTTTAAAATGCACCTACTTTTGAATAATTATTTTCAAAAGTGAGTATTTTTTAAAGACCTTTTAAGCACCTTTTTAAGTCCAGATTAAAGACTATTTTTTTTAATACTTAGGACACATTGTTTTATGCTTATGTTTTTAGTATGATTTTTTTTTTTTTTTGCAATGTTTTCATTTTTGTCTGAAGCACTTTGGTCTTCCTGGTGTTTTTTGTAAAGCGCTATATAAATAAACTTTGATTTGATTTATTTCAATACTTTTACTTGAGTAGATTATTGACTGAGTAATTTTTGCTTGTAGTTGAGTAAGATTTGAATACAAGTATCAAGAATTTTACTCAAGTACTACTGTTGATTACTTCACCCACCACCGCATATGTGTGAGATGAACCCAGCAGACTTCAGAATCGACACCCAACAAGCAAGTACACATATGCTAACGTCTCCAACCAGACAGAGAGGAACATTTGGAGGTTCAGAAGGATTCTCAAATGGCTGGTCAGTCGACCTGATGGTCAGAGTAGATTTTTTTCTACCACATGAAACCAGCTGCACGTGGATCAGAGGAGCGTTTCACTGGGTCAGTCTTTCAGTTTGCATATTGAGGGTAGAAATGAACATCGCCTCCCAACACAGAGAAAAGATTGAAAGAAATAGGAAATTATGCAAAGCTGGTAACTACATACCTCAATATCTTCAATTAAAATCATAGTTTACAAAGTTTTAACAGACGGGGTCAATACAAATGCATGCCACACTTGTCAGATTTTTATTTCTAAAAATAATAAAACCAAGAATCATTTTTCTCCTACTGCACAATATTTATCTATCTCATAAAATCCCACAGTGTGAAAAACTCACAGCTATTAATGCTTCTGCATGGCTCTGTATAAGCAGTCTTTTCTGTCTCGTCATACATTAGTCTTCCTGTTCATCCAGCTGTTGTTTCAAAGATGTTTTTTTTTTTTTTTTTAAAGCCAAGAGGCAACTCTAAACTTTTATGAAAAGATCCAGCAAATATGCCAGTAGATACCTTCAAACTATTTTCTGGAAATTAAATCAGCTCAAAAACATCCAAATGGTCAGAAGTGGCTATTTTGATTCTTGCTGTTTTCTTTCGATCTGGAAAGAAATTCAGTCTAGATTTAGCATCTATTTCTCTATAACAACCCAAGGTAATAAAACATCCCAGGGTCCAAGAACCCATCCAGAGGGAGAAATCAAAACTGAGTCCAGATCAAAATAAAAGTACATTTAAATCCATCGCAACACGATGACTGCTTAAAACCTAACCTCAATTCAGTAAAAAAAAAAAAAAAAAAACAGATTGGGAGATAGCCGAACACAGAGTAACCGTCAAAGAGGAAGCTAAGACAGAGAATTTACATGTGAATGACATAACTTCTATAGTTAAAGCTGAATCTGTGAGCAGTTGGCTCAACTGGCATTTACAGGAAAACTAAACGTTTTTTTTCCTATGATAGATTGCCAACATCTCACATTATTGGAGATTCTTCTTCTTCTTCTATCCCCTCACACCACCATCCAGGTGAGGTTTGGAGGACTTGATCCCTTTATTGATTACAGCATCCATTTTCGTTTATCACATATGTTTTTATTTTGGCTTTATGCGTGCTTAACGCTTAATCTTTTTTGACACTTAATCATAGTTTTAAATAACTTAAGTGCGAGAAAGAACATGATAATTTGAAGAACAAAAATGTCTGCTTTTTAAAAAGCGCTGTTAGCCCTGAGCTGAAGGAAAAAGAATAAACTTTCACAGTGTGACAAGAACATCAGGAAGTACAAGAAATACTGCTAGTTTTTTATCTATTATTTTTAGGAAAGCTTTTTTTTAAATGTAGTAACATAATAGCTTAAGAAACATGATCCAAGATTTTTTAAACATGATCCAAGCTTTTTTACTAATTTTAGCCTAACAACCCAGATAAAATGTCACAGATAAATTACATTCAATTAGCTATGTGTATATTAGGTAAAAAAAATAAGTACTGTTTCATTTTTTTCTGTTTAAAAAGAGATTTTCTGAGGTTTAACCATAAAGAAGTTGCCCAGTACATAAAAAACCCAAAACAAATCAACGTTGCCTGTGTTTTGGTATTTTCAGAATAAAATACCACCCTGATCAGAGAACCTATCGGTAAGCAGCGACAGGTCAAAGCTTTTTAAGTATAAAGAATGTCTTCCACATTTATCTTAAAGCTAACAAGTCCCACTTTGTTTTCTTCTTTTTCTCTGTTGCAAAGCCTTCTCCTTA